GGAATTAGATATATAGATGATGAAGTTTACAATACAAAGTAAAAATTAACAAAAGCAATAAATAAAATTATTTTATTCAAGTAAGGATTGATATTTTTCCATGGTTACAGTGCCTATTATTTTTTCTTTTTTTACTTTCGTGTAGATATTTAACAAAAAATATTGCTCATTCTTAAAATAATTTTTAATACTATTTCCTTCAAATTTATTCCACAAATACAAACAGTTTCAGCTATTTCTGAAATATTGATATCTGACATAAAAACCACTGACGCTAAAAACCAGCCAACACAGAAGAACAACTGCATGCTAATTATATATGTTGTCGCTAATTTTAGTTATTCGCTAATTCCACCTAATTCAATCAAGATGGTGGTCGCCAAACCACTATTGGTTGATGAGCGCTAAATTAAAAGTTTCCGGCAGCCCCGCCTTCTGATTGTCTGTTACAAGAATATTATCAATGGATAGTTAATGGTTGCGCGATAACAGAATGAATGAAGAAATATTTTTATTTCTCATAATACTACATAATAACGTGTAAATAAAAAACACATACTTAAAATTCATAACAAACTTATTAAAGCAAAATTATTAAAACTAAAATGAAAAGGCATTTTTGTTTTAGGCTACGGTATTTAATTATGAAGACATTAAGTAGTACAGCATTTGATACAAAAGTAATATTCTTGTGGATAACCAAAAGGCATATTAACCTGCTTGAAATAATTCAGTTGGCCTACATTAATTAATTATTAGCTATGCGATACTACACTGCAGCTTGCGAGCAGTGCTACTCGCCGCACCGCGCCATAAAACTGAGATTTAGTCGCTCTGTTCAACCCAAAATTTTAACAAAACTAAGCATGATAGAAAGAAAAGTTAAATACAAACAGTAAAGTATATTTAATTATCTACAACTTTCTCACAGACTAAACTTCTCTGACCAACAAAAAAAATTTTAGTAGGCGACTAACTTTTTCAGTTCACTTTTCCAAAAATGTTCTAAAAAATGTGTCTGTTATGTGTTTTTATAATTAAATAATATATATATATGCTACCAAACGAAATTTTAATTTTCAAATCCATACCATTGACATGAAGGGTTTATTCCCTAGCTCTGTACCAAATTTCAAAATTTTATCTCAATTGTAAGGGTGTAAAAATGCTGTATATGTAAACTGCGACCACTAGTTCCGTACTACCGTAATGGTGAAATGGCCAGAAGTTAATGCTCAGTGCGACGTTGCCAATTCTTGCTGGCCGCGGCCCATAGTTAAAAGGGGCCGTGGCGGAGCCCAAAAGGATTTTTGAAATAAGGCTAGGCTTATAATTGGGAATATGGACTATTAATCATAATGCAAAATTTCAGCCCAATCCAACCAGTAGATAATGTGTGATGGAACTTCAAACAAACAAACAATTAAACAAACACACAAACTTTCACATTTATAATCTATATAAATAAAATTAGAGTTTTGTCTGTACTTTGCTCAGAATTATATACTTTTAGGTTATTTTTACGTTTTATACATTAAAGAAGCAGAAACGAGTCTTTTCTCTATTTCTGTCTGTCTGTCTTTCCCTTTGTCTGTAACACTCAAGATGGCATTTTACGCAATCTTCTCCGTGAAAACCAGAGTACCTATCAAGATCCAAGTCATTTTAATGTATTCACTGGATTGGCGAGAGTGTCTTTAGTGATTTAAATATAGCCTCACTACTTTGTAAATAAAATTACGGACGTTAAAAAATGCAGTTTTGTGCGACTTTTGTCAAATTTTCGTTCAATTTTTATCACATAATCGTCTATGAAATAACGAACAGCTGTTCGGATCAAGATTATTTTTTCTAGCTGTCAATGATATGTTTACAAATGTTGTTTACAAATACCCCAACCATTTCGAATCACGTTTTGAAAGCAAATCCCAACCAAGTGAGATTAAAAACGTTTTTCTTACATAACGGATATAATTAATCGCAAGTGCAATAATATAGTCTAATAGTGTAACCGTAAATGAAATTAAATAACTAGACATCGTCCAAATCGGAACCAGAAATTCTTTGAGTATAAAATGTTTCTTGAGTTTTGACAACAAGAAAGAAGACCTTGAATCAGTGTTGTATGGGGCTGGACACTGAAATGATCGTCGCCAATAGCTTACAAAAAAGGTTTCCACTCATTGACGGCGCTTCAATGGCGGTTGTGTAAAGTGTAAAGTAAAAAATCACAACTGCAGTGGGTGATTGTAACAGAGGTTTAACAGAGGAAGTGCTAAACTCGCTTTTCCAATGTGTCACTTTCTGTTTCTACTCACCGTGTGATGCAATCGCTGGACCATACAGCCAATAGGCCCATAGCTCATATCTTGGGTACGTAAGCCTACATATTTATTCATAACAACCTTTTTGACGACGATCCTTGATACCGGTACTTTTCCATAGAATACATGGCCTACCTACTTAAGAAATATAATTACAAATGACCAAAACCCCAACATTGTGTGATTTTCGTCACATTTCCTTCTAATGTTAATAGATATACTAATCATTGTTTAGAGAATGCGTAATCTATTAAATAAAAAAAGTTGTTTGGGTAAGGTTGTTTTTTTTTCAAACTGACACCAATAAGTTTACGCTATAACTTTTTACGAGAAAATCCAAAAGCAAGAGATCAATAACCACGGGACTAGATATTAATGTATTTAATTGGTCGGATGTACTATAGTTCTTAGGTAGGTTCTTACGTAGGTACTGGTTCTTTTCCTTAGAACCGTTGGTAGCTGCTAGAATCATTTTTACGTAGGTGCCAACACATCACTGTAGTTTACAAATTAGTTATCGTTGGTGTTGCACCTTATTTATTAGAGCCGTCCGTATTCAATTTAAGTGATGTCTTAACTCTGTATAAGTTTTGCTTTTTCTGTCTGGATTCCAAATCTTAGCTTACCCGGTATGCTAAGAAAATGATAACCTATTTGAGTAAAACATTTGTTGGGCAAACCATCATGAATTGTTTACGCTTTTATATTGTTTATGTATCAATAGTTCGTGGCCTTTTTTGGATTGTTGTGTGTATGTCTGTTGGTAACGCATTAATGTCCTTATTTCTCAGTGTTTCACGGAATGGACAAGAGCACCTTTGATACTGAAAATGTCAACCAGAATAAAGTGTTAAATGGTGAGGTTGAGGTAGTACTTTAAATACGTTTAAGTTAACCGATGTGGAAAGTAACTTTCAATTATAGGCCTACTTTAGGGCTACGCTTCATGGATCTATAAAACATTTTTTAGTTTAATCATTGGACATATGGACCATAACGATCCGGGTGACATTTAATTGCGAAGCATTTATTTTGGCTTGAACTGTCAGATACTGTATTTGCGAAGGTTTATATATAATAGTTTTGCCAGCATATCTGCAAATATGCAAACTAACTGCTGTTCTTAATCTTAATATAAGAAGGTTTCAACTGACTACTATAAGATCCCCGTGCGTAGAACGGGCACACAGCTAGTATTATTATTAAGCATGAAGTATGACTAGTGTACCTGTTGCGAATTTGAGCAATTGCTAAACTGGCGTTATTTTAAAATCGAACAACAGTCATAATTTCTGGTGACTTTAAAAGATTTGAATCAAAGATTATGGAAATACTAAAAGATGTACATAACAGATCGATATAATCAACATTTCTTGTAAATATCTTAATATGTTTCAAAAGCTGTTCTTGTTTTTTGGCGTTTTGTACAAATAGCCTAACTCATAGCCGCATTAGGTTGTCCACAATAATGATTATAAATTCTAAAAAAACATTAGCCTATTTCTAATTCTTCTCCTTGGTGGTGTTCTATGACTTTCCTATGTTTCCACAGTTTGCAAATCGGCTCTTTCAATGATTACTAAAAAATACAGCACAGTGTTAATTCAGTGTTCTTTGAAGTACCTATATCAAATCATCCAGGCTCTCTCGCTTTATTCCATTGTAATATTTACGCCAACCCAAATTCAAATAGAAAATATTTCATTTCAACCAAGTCAGTAAATGTTTGTAGCAAACTGTTAAATTAGCAAACTGACTGTTTAGGCCTACAATTAACATATGTTCTTCTTCTCACTTTTAATATCTGACAACAGCTGGAGTTTCGTAACAATGTTTATTTCCCATGTTAATCTTATGGAGAAATACGAAACTTTAAAGGACCCCAGGGCCTCACTCTCAAATTATTTCCATAAAAATAAAAGTTCCTGCACAACTTGACGTTACTCTCTTTCCAATGACACCAAAAACATGTCAATCGGTTCAGTAGTTTTGTAGGAGTAATTGTCACAAAAAACTTGCTTGCGTATTAAATAAGTACTAGTGCACCTGTTGCTCGAATTCGAGCAATTGGAAAATATTACAGGCGTTCAAAACTAATTACAGTCATAATTTCGGATGAATTAAAAGAGTCAACTCAAAGATTATGTAATCAATCACTCCACCCCAGTTATCGAAACTGCAAAGGAACTCACTCTGAAAACGAAAGCTCTTGTGTGTAAGTGTATCATGTGTTTACTATGAACAGCTGTAATTAACACAAATAATTTGTCTGTTTAAGTAAACAAAATGTTTTCTTAATAAGAAATAAATACTTAATAAGAAAAGAAAGAAGAAATTCTTAATAAGAAATAAAGAAATAGGATTTTGATGGCCTGTGGGGCAAAGCCCGAGAACTTTTATTACAGGAATTGGTGAAAGGGGGTGTCTACACAAAAAATACTTAATTTTGTCACATCGTTTGTAAAAATCTGATCATTATTAATGGAGTAGTAGTGTTTCGTAGAAATCGCCTTTGCGTATTATATATAAGCATGTAGATTAGTTATATGTACCCCACAGTCATTGTTGTAATTGGTGATAGATATGTAAAATATTCCTTATCACAAAGGTTTAACTTTCTAACATTGCCTCTGTTTGTTCCATTGCTAGTTATACATGAATGAAAGAATTACTTACATTGTGTACAGCGGTTGCACTGTACTCTCCATGAGAAGTTTACATTGTGGCAGTTATCACACGTCCAGTCATCATCTCGCTCTTTAAAACCTGAAAATATTAGAAGAAAATAAAGTATTGAATTTTGATGTAAAACATCTTTTCAGGAAAACAGAAGGCAATAGTAGGCCTTAATCTGATATCGTACACTAGACTGTGGTAGGATAGTCTTAAATTTTTAGTGATTAAATGATTAGTACAGTGCAATTAGACCTAAACCGGGACACCAAAAAAAAAGGTTCCAAACCAGCGCCAAATTGTTAAATACACTTCCCTCAATATGTAAAAAAAGTTACACTGATTTGAGTGTCGGGTTAGGGGGGGAGGGGGTGAAAATGGGGTGAAAATAGGACCTTTTTTACTTTTCCACAAATTACTCCAAAACGATCCATTTTTCTCAAAATACAATTTATTCATAAGTAATTTTGTAAATTGTTTTAAATAGGCTAATACTTTTCATTTTCCTTTTTAACACAAATATAATGACAATTTAACTAAATATGACTTACTAACCTGATAAGACAAACCTACCTAGATACGTGAACAAAGTGAACTTTCTACCGTTTGAATTCTTAAGTGTGTTTTATCATTAGCCTAATCAGTTATTAAGTGAATATCCGTGTTACAATAGTTATTTGTGTAACTAGTGGGCGAAGTGGCACATTGCTGCGCACGAGAGAAATGCTTACGCATGAGCTGCAGGCGAGTTTAGAAGGTTTCTCGAGTGCAGCAAGGCACTTTGCACTCGTGTTACACGTTACATTTTTCCTACAGTTACTATAAATCATATAAATTAGTCTTTCAAACACTATACAACACCTGTTTAAGTAAGGTTAAATCCAATCGTTGAACGAAATGGGAAACACTGCAACAGCTGATTGTAATTGTAATATTCTATTGTTAAGTGTTGCAAACCTATTTCTAAGCAAACACGAATTACGTACATAATGAAAGCACACCGTTTTGTGTTTTTGGTTGGAAATTGTGGGACAAAAGTAAGTATATGTAACAATTAGCAGCTTTTTGAACTATGATCTGTGCAAGGAAGCCTACTTTGTCGAGTGACGCATAGCGGCACGCTATATTATATAGTGTAAGCATTTCGCAAAGCCGGGCTGCATGACATCTTGTTGCCTGCCGCGACTGCATCAACGCTCTATCCCCACCTCCCTACTCTTCCCTCTTGTTCTTGGTCTACGATCCTTCGAAGAGAAAACAACCGATTTTCAGGGCGTCCGTTCCGACAAATGGATAAGTTACAATTAGTATAGTTATGTAGATAGATATAAGTATCAATTATGGTTGGCTAAGTCAGGTAACAAGCGGGGAGCCTTTCTGGCTCACCCGGCCATTGAAATGTAGGAAATCATAACTCAGTCGGTTGGTTGCCTTCTGCAACCAACCTTTTCAATCATGAAAAACTGGCAAGCTGGCTAGGCAAGTGTTCTGATCTGGGTAAAAGGTCTCCGTCCCTCTGGTCCCCAGCAATCTTCCTAATTTTATTGGTAGCAGATTCAGCAAGCTTAAATTAAGTTTGGTCCAGACACACCAATTCCTAACCTATTAGCATTACCCTGTTTATTCCCTCCTGATTACCCGAATTCCCACCGATCTCCCTTCCTGGTACCATACCATAACCCCGGTAATACCCCACCAAACGGCCCCCCGGCTACATATGGTAGCAGAGCGTGGTTCACTTCTCCCAGCATGATTTAATAAAAACCAGACAACTGCACAATAAAAAAAAAATTGAAATCAAAGGAACAACCAAAAATCACCTTAATACCTCTACAATTTCCCGCATATCAACCAAGAAGAAAAATCTGTAATTATTAAAATATCGTGCACATTTGGACAATAGACATTCTGCACCTTCCGTCATCAGCCAGCGATGCTCCGGCCTTGTCCGCATGAATCATCAGCACACATCTCTACCTACACTCAACCTGCTGCCTCAACGCTTAGCCCATACCATCAGCACCTCTCAAAACCTAAACCTGCATCACCAGAAGACACACCAGCAGATCTCAATCCCCCACAGTGCACTTCTACAATTCCTTAGGAAGAAAACTTTATTTAAAAAAAAAAATCTTTTGTGCGTGCAGTTGTCCGTCCCTTTTTATTTCACAACAGAAAGCAATTCAATTCAAATTTTTGCCAGGTTAGGGAAACAAGCTGTCGTCCCCACAATGCCTTCCTCTTTTCGCAGGGGGGGTGGATCCCGCTCTCTGCCTAGGTTGGTTCAGGAAAATCCGGTGGTCCGAGGTGCCATTTACAGCCAGGCTGGTCAGAACCTTCAGGCTTCCACATCTGGAAGCAAATTGAACAACAAACTTCCCCACCAAAAAAAAAAAAAAAAAAAAAACAACCAAACACCAAACCAAACCCTTTCACCAATCTTCGACAAAACTGTTCTGTTCCTTTTTTGCTTTTGTCGTAAGGGGGGTGGTTGTGACGCATAGTGGCACGCTATATTATATAGTGTAAGCATTTCGCGAAGCCGGGCTGCATGGCATCTCGTTGCCTGCCACGACTGCATCAACGCTCTATCCCTACCTCCCTACTCTTCCTTCTTGTTCTTGGTCTACGATCCTTCGAAGAGAAAACAACCAATTTTCAGGGCGTCCGTTCCGACAAATGGATAAGTTACAATTAGTATAGTTATGTAGATAGATATAAGTACCAATTATGGTTGGCTAAGTCAGGTAACAAGCGGGGAGCCTTTCTGGCTCACCCGACCATTGAAATGTAGGAAATCACAACTCAGTCGGTTGGTTGCCTTCTGCAACCAACCTTAACAAACATGAAAAACTAAACCACATGTTCCCAGAATGTAGCTTAGCAATTATCAATCAAATTTGTACATATTCATATACATATACCATTCAGTATTCAATTTACATATTATTTCCCTCACTCATCAATATTAGTAAGTAATATCCAAGTTCAGTTCATAGTTGGAAGGATAGGTTAATACTTGCGGTTTTGACTTTGTCGCACACCAGTATTCCAACCAAACAACACAAAACAGCGTGCTTTCATTATGCGTGTAATCCATGTTCGCTTAGAAATAGGTTTGCAACACTTACAAATATTACAATTACAATCAGCTGTTGCAGTGTTTCCCATTTCGTTCAACGATTGGATTTAACCTTACCTAAAAAGGTGTTGCATAGTGTTTGAAAGACTAATTATTTATATGATTTATAGTAACTGTTGGAAAAATATAACATGTAACACGAGTGCAAAGTGCCTTTGCTGCACTCGAGAAACCTTCCACACTCGCCTACGGCTCAAGCGTAAGCATTTCTTTCGTGTGCAGCAATGTGCCACTTCGCCCACTAGTTTTGTATGGTTATTGGTTACGGAGAAAATTGTAAATTAAAAATTCCCATGTTATTCTTATGGAGAATAAGTAAACTGTTGTAGTTTGCTTGTTTATGCATTTGGATCAAACTTGCCCAATATATTTATTTTATACTAAGCTATTAATATTTTACTAAAAAACACTTTATTACCCTGTAGGCAGCAAACCTAGGTGCTAAACCTAATGTTATTTGAATAGATTTAATTGAAAATCAAATCAGGCAAATGGAAATTCGCTTAGTCTGCAGGTTTGCTGCGGCGGGGGTATTTTTGTTATGTCCCGGTTTGCTCTTTTTTAAAGCTAATTGCACTGTACTAGATCTTTTTTCTTGTGGTTCTGATGGTTGTTTATGACGTGTGCAAGTAGTGACGTCAACTAATACTTGAAGGGGGAAGCTATGAGGAGACAATATAGACAATAGACAATATTCTTTATTACATATTCATCGAGAAGTACCTGGGGACCGAGCTTTGCTCGGGGAAAATCATTAGTTTACTCTGAAAGCAGTTTAGTATTGCAGATACATTAATCCACTCCCAAACACCACACTGATCACCTTTACTACTTCCTTCACCACTCCCTCCGTTGTGGACCTGTTTGCCCTCCTTCCCTATACCATTTTAGAATTGCAAATACATAAATGCCACAGACAGTTCCCACACTCCGGGCAGCACGCCTTGACTACTTCCCTCACCACTTCCTATGTCACCAACCTGTTTTCCTCCCTTCCCACGGCATTTTAATTTGCAGATACCTTAATCTAATCCCCATTAACAGTTCCCACACTCCAGACTGCTCACCTTTACTACTTCCTTCACCACTTCCGACGTCGCGGACCTGTTTCCCCTCCTTCCAACGGCATTTTAGGATTGTAGACACCTTAATCTAATCGTCATAAACAGTTACCACACTCCGGACTACCGTACTTGAATGTACTACTTCCTTCCCGACTTCCTACGTCACGGACCTGTTTCCCTCCCTTCCCATAGCATTTTGGGACTGTAGATACCTTAATCTAATTGTCATTAATAGTTCCCACACTCCAGACTGCTTACCTTTACTACTTCCTTCACCACTTCCTACGTCGTGGACCTGTTTCCCTCCCTTCCCATAGCATTTTAGGATTGTAGATACCTTAATCTAATCCTTATTAACAGTTCCCACACTCCGGACAGCTCGCCTTTACTACTTCCTTTACTACTTCCTACGTCGTGGACCTGTTTTCCTCCCTTCCCATTGCATTTTAAGATTGCAGATACCTTAATCTAATCGTCATATACAGTTCCCACACTCCGGACTCCTTGCTTTTACTACTTCCTTCACCCATTCCTACGTCGCGGGCCTGTTTCCCTACCTTCCCATCGCATTTTAGGATTGCAGATACCTTAATCTAATCGTCATAAACAGTCCCCACACTCCACACTGCTAGCCTTTACTACAATCATAGATAAAAAAAAGTCCTGCTACAATGTATCGAGTAATCTTCAGTATAATCTTTGCTCAATAGTAACAACTGATGTTTTTCCTTTTGTACTGTATTTTAAAATTGCTAAAATACTGTGGATAGACTACTTACAAGTCTTTTGTTTACTTTTTCCTTGTTATTCAATTCAACCAACATGGTTACTTAGCAACCCATAAGACTAATGTTAAAAAAATGTGACTTTCAGTTTCATTTTTCTACGTAATTCGATTTTTGTTGGCATTTCTAAGTGCAGTAAACTCGTTTTTAGGCCAAAAATAAGCTATTTACAAGATTTGAAGAAAATTGTCGGAGCCGTTTTCGAGATCTTTCTGCAAGCAAGCAAGCAAGCATACATACAAGCAAACATTGCTCGTATTAGAGTATAGGATAGGCCAAAAATAAGCTATTGGCTGCACTTTACTTGACGTCCTACACTCTTTCGAATGAAAATATCGATCGATATATCGATTAATCGATTGCTTCATTCGATATATCGTTTGGTTAGTTAGGTAAGGTTAACCTAACCTAACTAACCAAACGATATTTATTGAATGAAACAATCAAATGAAAATATCAAATCGAAAAAAACAATCGAATGAGTGTAGGACGTCAAGTAAAGTGCAGCCAAGCTATTTAGAAGATTTGAAGAAAATCGTCGGAGCCGTTTTCGAGATCTTTCTGCAAGCAAGCAAGCATACATACAAGCAAACATTGCTGGTATTAGAGTATAGGATAAGTAGCCTACAGCGTCATATTTACAGATGGATTGTACAGAAACATTTCATTTTAAGGTCCTGAGATGAATTCTTTTTCGGTGTAGAAAGGTCTTTCTAGCAGCCAGTCTGTAAGTTTTATCTTAAAAGTGCATGAATTATTTCGCTGTTTAAGTTGTTCTGGAAGGAGGTTAAAGTATTTAGCTCCGTTGTAGATTGGTTTTCTTTCAGTAGGCCTAAGTGATAGCTTGTGGATTGGAAGGGTGAAATCTAATGCATGTCTGGTGTTGTGATGGTGTAGGTCCTTATGTCTGGTTTGTTGGGTATTGCATGTAGGATGGTTTGATGGATGTGGAGTGACACCATAGTGGGTATCTTTTGCTCTTTGAACGGTCCACGGCAGCTGTCTTGTTGTCCAATGCCAACCAAACACCTGTTGTTGGATGAGAACAAGTTCTAGGTTGAATGCAGTGGATCCTCTATGCCATATCACAGATGAGATTCAAAAAGAGCGAAATAGGCTACCTTCGCTGCATCTGTTCCACTTATTTGTTTTAACCCCTACAAACGCAAGTAGCTAAAGAATTATATTGTATAATGGTTCTATGTGAGGTTTCTATGTTAGTTTGGAGTCAATATAGTCATGCCAAGGTACTTTGTCTTGATTTCCTTTTCAGACCAGGTAGGGTGATGTCTGTGGTGGCACTTCTGTTGTTGAAAATAATTTGTACGGTTTTATTTTTGTTTAGAACAAGGTCATTTTCTTTGCAGTACTTAGTGTTTGGCCTCTAGTTGAAATGTGCTAGTGTGTCTCTTTCTAATATTTCCATTGATTTATTTGCAAGAGTGATGACTGTGTCGTCTGCGTAGATGACCGTATGACAGGGGCCTTGCAAATCTTCTGGCAGGTCGTTTGTCAGGAGTAGGAATAGTACTGGTCCCAGTCCCTACTGACCAGGGTTGCCACCCGTCCCGATTCTGCCGGGACAGTCCCGATTTCAGTTCCTTATGCCCGCATTTAAGCCTAATCCGCAAAGACTCTGTAGGAGGAGATGTATATTTTACCAACGCCAATTAGATAAAACTAACATAAATTACTCATGTTATGCTTTTATTTTGCGAGGGGCTCCAACTTAGTAACTTAAGTGGAATGTAAGTTACGTCTAGTAATTTACTGATCAAAATGTAACTTACTAACTTATAATTCCTAAGTTACAGAGTCTTCGCATCCTGATTAAGTTTAAGTAGGTAAGTATTACAAGTATCGCCCACAACAACAGATTTTAGTTTTCTGATGATAAGTCTCGGGAAATGAAAACGCCGATTTAATTATTTTAAGTTTAACTAGGTTACAATAATTTAACTGTAATTATACTTATTTACTAAATAATACGTTTACAGTAGCCTACTTTTTAAACATGAAAACAAATAGGACAAAAATTATTCCAAAAACTCACTGTGTTTTCTTCCTCTTCCACTCATTCTCTGATGCCAACGAACTTATTTGGGTAGGCACTGCTGCATATGATACTCCTTCGTCGAATACTCAAATGAATAGGCTAGGGTAGATAGCAGGTCAATGGACTAGCCTTAATAAGCCTAGTCTTAGAGCACTAGCACAAGATGTAGGGCCTACCTACTACCTACTAGGCTACTAACCGTTTGGAGACGGAGTACAGCCCACAGCCCACAGAACACAGACAGAACCAAATCTGGGTTCTGTGATAACAGAGGCTACACGTTGTGGTTTAGGTTTTGAGTTTACTCCAAGAAACTGGTTATGTTTCTGGTTAGTTAGTGGTTCTGACTGGTTACGTTTTCATGTTGATGACCCGTTGTTTGTTGGCCGTCAGTGACGACGACAACGACAACTGAACTACTGAGTACTGAGTACTGACTGAAACTGAACTGAACGAGTGAACGACGCTGACAGTGACAGTGACGACAGACGACACCGACGACCACTGAGCTATAATTCCAACTGGAGGTTAGCAACCGTCGTGAAGTTAGCGGCTCTTTTCATCGGCACTTTTTCGGATTGTAATTGATATGGGTTGGTACGCCTGCCGACGCCACAAACGTGTTTTGCAGGGATGTCGGAAAAACGATTCAATGACAATACGGTGCGAAATGATGTTTTTACATTTATATAATGTCAATTATACCTTGATAAAACGTGCATACACGTTAAAACTAACTAATTGAAGTATTTTTAAATGCATATTTGAGACCGTACTGTACATTATACGTAGCTATGGCCTAACATAACGCGATCAATTCAAACAACGAACATAAAAAAGTGCATAATCTTTTTCCTAAGCCCATCACATAAACTTTGAGCTATTCTAATGGTAATATACAATGTGTAGAATAATCAGTATAAATATGATTGAGGCAGTCCAGTAAATTACGAAGCTATAAGGCAAAATGTATATGGTTGATAGGATCTTGCATCGGGAAAAAGTGCACAATGTTGACCCTAAGCCCATCACATCAACTTTGAGGTATTCTAATGGTAATGTACAATGTATAGAATAATCAGTATGAGTATGATTGAGGCAGTCCCCTAAATTACGAAGTTATATGGCAAAATGTATATAATTGATAAGAACTTGCATCGGGAAAAAGTGCACAATGTTGACCCTAAGCCCATCACAAAAATCAGATCAACTTTGAGGTATTCTAATGGTAATATACTTTGTGTAGAATAATCAGTATGAGTATGATTGAGGCAGTCCCCTAAATTACCAAGTTATAAGGCAAAATGTATGGTTGATAGGAACTTGCACTAGGAAAAAGTGCATACTCTTTTTCCTAAGTCCATCACATCAACTTTGAGGTATTCTAATGATAATATACAATGTGTAGAATAATCAGTATAAGTATGATTGAGGCAGTCCCCTAAATTACCAAGTTATAAGGCAAAATGTATGGTTGATAGGAACTCGCACTAGGAAAAAGTTCATACTCTTTTTCCTAAGTCCATCACATCAAATTTGAGGTATTCTAATGGTAATATACAATGTGTAGAATAATCAGTATGATTATGATTGAGGCAGTCCCTTAAATTACGAAGCTATAAGGCCAAGTCTAGTCTAAGACTGCCCAGACTGGAAAGGCTAACTGGATATGAGTACGGCTATCGGTTACCTGGTGGGAGTATACCTATGATACATAATTTATTATGAGCTATCCAAAAATGTATAACAATATATATTTTAATTTTAATCTACAGTAGTGGAAATGTAATTATTTCGTACAGTAGCTTTAATAAATAGAATTAAACTTTTCCAAGTCTATGGTTGATGTCAATGAGTGTATTATGTGTAAAAATTGAATATAATTTAATTATCCTTCTGATGGTATAATTAGTTTGTGATATATTTATTTATATATGACCAACATAAACCATATTTATTTTGCCTTATAACTTGGTAATTTAGGGGACTGCCTCAATCATACTCATACTGATTATTCTACACATTACATATTACCATTAGAAAACCTCAAATTTGATGTGATATACTTAGGAAAAAGATTGTGCACTTATTCCTGACGCGAGTTCATATCAACCATATACATTTTGCCATATAACATCGTAATTTAGAGGACTGCCTCAATCATACTTATACTGATAATTCTACACATTGTATATTTCCATTAGAATACCTCAAATTTGATGTGATAGGCTTAGGAAAAAGATTGTGCACTTTTTCCTGACGCGAGTTCATATCAACCATTATACATTTTGCCATATAACTTCGTAGTTTAGGGGACTGCCTCAATCATACTTATACTGATTATTCTACACATTGTATATTACCATTAGAATACCTCAAATTTGATGTGGTGGGCTTAGGGTGAACATTGTGCACTTTTTCCCGATGCAAGATCCTATCAACCATATACATTTTGCCATATATTTACGTAATTAAGGGGACTGCCTAAATCATATTTATACTGATTATTCTACACATTGTATATTGCCATTAGAATACCTCAAATTTGATGTGATGGACTTAGGAAAAAGATTGTGCACGTTTTCCTGACGCGAGTTCCTATCAACCATTATACATTTTGCCATATAACTTCGTAGTTTAGGGGACTGCCTCATTCATACTTATACTGATTATTCTACACATTGTATATTACCATTAGCATACCTCAAATTTGATGTGATGGGCTTAGGGTCAACATTGTGCACTTTTTCCCGATGTAAGATCCTATCAACCATATACATTTTGCCATATAACTTCGTAGTTTAGGGGACTGCCTCAATCATACTTATACTGATTATTCTACACATTGTATATTACCATTAGCATACCTCAAATTTGATGTGATGGGCTTAGGGTCAACATTGTGCACTTTTTCCCGATGCAAGATCCTATCAACCATATACATTTTGCCATATAACTTCGTAGTTTAGGGGACTGCCTCAATCATACTTATACTGATTATTCTACAAATTGTATATTACCATTAGAATACCTCAAATTTGATGTGGTGGGCTTAGGGTGAATGGCCCTTGAACATTGTGCACTTTTTCCCGATGCAAGTTCTTATCAACCACATACATTTTGCCATATAACTTCGTAATTTAGGGGACTGCCTTATAGCTTTGTAATTTACTGGACTGCCTCAATCATATTTATACTGATTATTCTACACATTGTATATTACCATTAGGGTAGCTCAAAGTTGATGTGATGGGCTTAGGAAAAAGATTATGCACTTTTTTATGTTCGTTGTTTTAATTGATCGCGTTATGTTAGGCCATAGCTACGTATAATGTACAATACGGTCTCAAATATGCCTTTAAAATACTCCAATTAACTAGTTTTAACGTGTATACACGTTTTATCAAGGTATAATTGACATTATATAAATGTAAAAACATCATTTCGCACCGTATTGTCATTTAATCGTGTTTCCGACATCCCTGCAAAACACGTTTGTGGCGTCCGCAGGCGTACCAACCCATATCAATTACAATACGAAAAAGCGCCGATGAAAAGAGCCGCTAACTTCACGACGGTAGGTAGCACTGAATGTCAAAGATGCGTGTCGCCAGCCGCCATGTTTGCGTGAGGTGTGAGTTAAAAAGAAGCCATGTTATTGGATAAGAAAACTCACTGCTATACCAACCTAGTTATAGAAGCCATGTTATTGCTATGATAAGAAAACTCGCTGCTATACCAACCTAACAAAATCAGCGACACGCTTTTGACAGACTTCTGCCATGGCGGTGCTACCTCCAGTTATAATTTTAGCTCAGTGCCGACGACAGACGGTGACCATTTTATCACCCCCACAGTGTTGACAAAATATTGGTTCAATATCGTTTGTAGTCGTATCGACCATCACTTGCTATCGATTGTCGATTAAAACACACTAAAAGGACTTGTGAAAAAATAACGCGTCTTGCTTGGGTATACCTTTAAAATAATGATTTGACAACTAAAGAAAGAATCTTTTAACCTTATAGTTATTAAACCAAGTAGGAAAATAAAACACGACGGGGTAGTTTGACTCGAAACTCAAGAGAAGGAACTATTTAGTCATTTAGTGTGTTGTGCCAGTCCTCTTTTACACATTTACCCATAAGCTTAAATACCCCCGCCGCAGCAAACCTGCAGAATAAGCGAATTTCCATTAACCTGATTGGATTTAAACTAAATTGCCTCCATAAAAATATCACATTTATTTCCTATTTAAATAGAATTAGTTTAACGAGTACTTAGGTTTGCTGCAACAGGGAGGGTAAAAGTGTTTGTTTTTTTTTGTAAAATATTAATAGTTTAGTAAGAAATGAAAGTATTTTCCAAATTCGATCAAAATATGTTCATAAACAAGCAAACTACAACAGTTGACTTATTCTCCATAAAAATAACATGGGAATTTTAAATTTACAATTTTTTGAAATTTTCTCCGTAACCATTAGGCGCACAACAACGCTTCAATATACTAAATTATTTGTTTTTTTAAGCTCTACAAAATGGTTTGGGAAGAAATTGTAAAATTTTGTGTTTTTAGGGTCAAAAATGGGAAAAACCTATTTTTACCCCATAAAACCCCATATAAAACCCCGTTCCCATAGTCCGATCATGCTGGTTCGCGAACTCGTTCGAATAAATGTAGCTTTACACGTTTATACCAAATTTCATGAAAATCGGATAATTTTTGCTCGAGTTATCACGCTAACGGACACATATATATATAAATATATATATATATATATATGAATTTGAACGGATGGTGTTTTTGGCCTCTAGGGACCTCTAAACGAAAATGTAAATCGGTCCCGGGTCCAGATCTTACCATGAGTACTACGGTAATAGCTTATTCCCTATATGGGAAATTCGCTAAAATAAACCAAGTGAGAGCCTGTTCCTGTATCATATTACAAGGCTAATATACTTTTGTTATTTCAGTAGCTAAAGCATTTTCCAGCTACAAGGGTGTTTAATATATTGCATATTTCAATAATTCATACGCTGGCTGAAACGGACCTGATAAAACTGATAATTACCTATTATTATTGTTATATATATTAGTCCATAGAAAGTTTTAAAGTTAAAACCTTTTACCATAGGCCTATTCGTTAATGGACCATCTCGGTGTTTATTTAATTAGGCTTAACTTGCTTCAATTATTTATTTGGCCATTAAGCAGTGCAATAGGCTATGTCACTCTTGATACAAAATAAAGAATAAATAGTCCGTCTTGACTCAAAAAATGCATGCTAGATAAATATTTCGATACACAACAGTGGCAGATGTAGGACCTCAGTAACTGAACAATCCCAACCCAGCAGTAAAGTGAATACACACATAACAATTCAGAAGCATAAGTCATATCTTTTGGATGTGCTAATAATAACTTAGGCTTAGAAGCC